CGCAACTTAAAAATTGCCCTCATCCTATCAGGAAAGTGGGGAACGACCTGCATGCAGACAGGAATCACAGTTAAAACGATGTCTGCTTGATCTTTGTATACGTGCAATAAAGCCCATGAGAACAATTTGTAGATTATAAATGATTTTTTGAAATTAGTGAATTTTCAACCAATTTGCATACAAACTATTCACAACTATGTTACAAGAGATGAAATTAGTCTACTAAATTATAGTGAAACATTCACTGAACTCTCTATATCAGCTTTGGTTACAAAAAGATGAGTTATAATGTGTAATATTCTCTGTTGAAACTCCTAATTATTTTGCAGGTCATCCTACAACTCTAATACAGTATACAATCAAAATAGGCAACGAGTATTTAAATTAGACTAGTATGCCCCTTGCATACCTCTTTTTGCTTTGTATTTGCATGATACCACGACAAGATCTCTGAAGCACTACCAAAGTAGAAAAAAATCACATTGCTAATGATGAAGTGACTGCTTAGGGATTATAGTTCACAGCCATGAAGGTCGTGACAGCATCTCCCGTACAGCTCATAGTTTGTTGTTGACACTGGATTCGTGTTATTCTACAGACTCTAAATAAAAATATGCGCTTGGAAACACGGGATTGTGCCTATCCGATGCTGTTCTGGAATAGACAAGATCAGGGCAACAACACTGGTTGCATCTTTGCTCAATAATAAAATGCTCCTAAGCACTGGCACCCAACTCTTTATATGGTAAAATTCCTAGAAAAGCCCCTGCCATGGTTTTGACCAGTGCAGAACTGAGTACACACAATTCCTGGCTATGCTTCAAGTGTTAGCATGGGACATAGAGTATTCCTAACAAGCAGATTGTATGACACTACCCTGCTCTGAAAACAACAGGAGTTCAATAATACGAGTGTGGGCTGTACCGCTCCATTTAGCCTCCATGCTAAAGAGTAGGCCTGGGTATATTTAATTTGCTGATATAGCCGTAGCCAGTACGTACTGCTATGATGAAACACAAGTGAACTCTTCAGGGACTTATTTAGGAGAACTCCTTGTCATTTGTTGGAAAATGAAACGAGTAACTGAAATCTCATGCGTCTTGTATGCATTTGCCTAAGAGACTCACTGAAACAAATACTTTGAACAGAATACTCTAAATTGGCCTAAATTGGCATGGTATTGCTACCTGGCCGTTGCGTTCAAGCAAACATAATGTTTACTGGGAGAGGGGGAAGCGTTCAGAAGTGCTTTTTTTTTTTGCAGTGCAGATTAATAATACGTATGTATTTTTGCCATGAAGAAAAGCGGAGAGAGTAAAAATAGCTCTCAAGTGAGATAGCTGCTGTTCACTCCCCTGTTCCTGGAGCCATGACAGCCATTATATAACCAAAAGGAAAATTAAGCGAAATAAACAGCGTAAGCTAATTGGGTTGATATCAAGTAAAAACATAAGTAGTCAAAGTGTTTGGTGGTAAAGGCGCTGACAATATGTGGCTGTTCCTCAGCCTTACTGGTGAACAGGGATCGTGCCATGTGTTTAAAACTTATTCATCAAGCATTTCCATGGAAACACACAGATGCACAGTCCTTGGATCACTTATTTCAGGAATTGCTGCTCCCAAGGTTCACTCTGGAGTGAGAACTCAGACCAGGAGAGGAAGACAGGCTGTGATTCTGATCTAGAAACCTCCCCATACAGGTATTGGTTGGGTCTCACAGTAGGAGAATTTGAGTGAGGGAATGAGTAAAAGGGCATCCTGCATAAAGAGGAAAAGGACTAAAAACTTGACCTTAATTTTTCCTCTCAAAGACTGCCTGACAGTTGAGAAATGACAGCACTGGACAGAGCCTGAAGAGTTTACAGAATCATGGGAAGTCCCCAGGGGGATTAAGATGCTTGCAAGAGCATTACCAAGATGCTACACTGAGAGAGACTTAGGTTAAACGCAGTCGCTGGGTTTGGCTGTCCAAAACTGCCCTCTTACATATCCAAATGGGAGTCAGCTCTGGTGTGACCTCTCAAAGTTAAGAAAAATCCTCCCACATTGGAAGGACGAGGTCTCTGATGCCCACTCACAGTGACCGTGACAGCCCAGCACCATGTGCTGGGGAGCACAACAGCTCCTTGCTCCTGCTATAAAACCTACGGCCACTTAAGAAAATGTGGCCCTCACCTCCCTTTGTGGGTCAGCTCATGTACTGTGAAAGACAGGGAACGTCTGTGGTTATGATGCACAAGGGTTTAATCAACACAAAGCATTTGGAAAGCAGCAGTAAAATCTGTTGTATGAATAAAAGATGCTTCGTCGCTAGCAAGTACTTCTATAGGAAATAAACACTGTATGCAAAGCAGGCGAAATAGGTGCAGCATATGACTGGTAGGCATCCCTGGATGGGGACGTCCCTTCAGATTTCTCCTGATGTCAGTAATAAAATCAGCACCTGTGTCCCCTCCCAGCCCTGCTATGGTTTTTAGTACACTTTGCCATTTCTGGTAAGAGATGCTCAAGTAGGGAGGTCTACAACACAATTGCCTTTAATAGCAAGGTCAGAGGTAAGGTATATTCTCAAGGGCAACAGGGGACACGTGCACCCTGTCTCTGTGTTCATGCCAGGCTCTGACTGGGAGGGGAAAGCAAAATATTGCTAATGCCTTAAAGATAATGAACCACATTAAACCAGCGTTACTAATCTAACACACAGCCCATTAAAGACTGAAAAACCAGCGCCTTCATAGGCTGTTCAGAAGTATTTGAGGGGTCTGTTACGGCAGTGATGTGATAGCTCCTGCGGACTGAAATTTCCTTAGGCACAACAGAGAGTTAAGCATAAAGTGTGAAGCCTTAACTTCAAATTTTCTGACTGTGGCTTAAGTCTGCCTCACAAGGTTCCTGCAATGCCTTTTTATTGTGCTTATTTCGTCATACATTATATAGCATTAGTGGTAATGCAAGTAGGCACGCTGTCACCAACTGGGGTAAGTTCATTCAGACCTGACTGCCTTGTGACATGACTTCCAGTGCTGCCGCTGCCATCAGCCTGAATAATGCTCTCTTTAGACACAGCAGCAAACTGAAAAGGTGACACAGGGTGGAGCGCACCATCTTAAAACACAGAATTGCTATCAGGTTTCTGTGCTACTGTCCGCCTTTGAGCCTTTCTTTTAAGACAGAAAAGGCTATGGGGCTGAAGAAAGGCTTGGCTGGCAGTGGAGCAGGCCAGAAGGAGAGACAACCAGTCTACAATCCATTTTTTTTCGGTCACCCCTAAAACTTTACAAGGGTCTGTGATCTTTCTCCACAGGGATGAGTCTGCACATCTTGAAAAAGCTACAGGTGCTGTGAGACTCCACAGCTGAGCTGCTATGTAGCACATGGTTCTAAGAGCAGAAGACTAAGATGCACACCAAGAGCAGCCCCTTGTGCAAACACCTCTCTGGACAACAGCCCAGGCTTCCCTGGTAGCTCCTTCACACCAAAGGGTTTGGGTCTACTGCCCAGGGCAGTGCCAGTGGGAGACACCCAAGCCCATGGGGTACCAGGACGGCTGTGTCAAGCTGGAGCTTTGATGGGTTTATCCCCCCGTTTCCCAGCCAGGCAAGAGGTATTCAGAGACAACCGTAGCTTACGGAAATGAAGTGCATCCCAACCCAAGCTTCTTGCTCCCAGCTCTGTGCTTGAAGGTCATCACCCACAGCAGGACCGGGCAGCCAACACCTGGGCCTGCGCAGCAGTTACCACAGTATGTTAGTGTAAACTGTGACCATTGCAGGGCACACCAACAACACGCGGGTCAACGCCATGACTGTTCAGGAAGAGCATCTCCATAAACCGACAGTACAACATCACATCAGTGCTACTGTGTTCAGAGCCAAGTGTCTAGGCAGAGCCAGCAGAAGCCTTTTTTCTTCACAGCCTGGCAGCAGAATGATAGCATCTAGCCAGAAGGGAGAAAATTAGGAGTTCAAGAGCTGAAATTGCTGCAGGAACAAACCCCACAGTGCAGAAGGGTTTCCAGTAAAAGACAACAGTTATCCCAGACCTCACCGTGTCCTCAGCTTCATGCAGAACACATTTGATTAAACCACTCTTCTCCTCAGTAAACTCTTTTTTCTTGCAGCTAAACATAATGAAGCTATTTATCTCAAAAGGCTGGGAAACAAACAAACAAAGGCAGTTACTGTCATTGCTGGATTTTAAATTCCTGTAAAACACTTATGCACTTATGGAGGAATGCTGTTTAGACCCATACCATTAGAGAAAAAGGTACACTTGAATAAAAGGCCACAGGCATGCTGAATTAAAATGAAATCATGTTCTGAAGTACTGTATGTTTTACATTAGTGGGAGAAGGACACACAGTTCCCTGTCTCAGTATCAGCAAGTCATTGATTTTCTATGGAAATGTGCTTGAATTGCTCTTGGTATATATTACACTGTAGCCCATCTTTCCTTCAACAAGGGTAGGATCGGTTCTTTCTAAAAACTGTTGGTTTTTTTTAAAACTCATTATAATTATTTAATATTTTCCCCATAGCAATGCAATTGACAGAAAAAATAGCTCAACAATTCTTCATTTTCTTTGCTCATTTTGTTGACTGAAACCCTCAAGTGAATCCATTTCTTCGTTTATATGTGTTATCTCTGAGAAGATCTTTCTTGATGCATAAGAAATCTCATTTATTAAACTGTAAAGGGGGGCGGGGGGGAGAAAGATCTACTTAAACACATCTTGCAGAATTTAAATATGGGTGCAGATAGGATGGCCTGATAGATAGGAAACAAGAGTTTTCATTCATAGTATTTCTATTTAGCAGTAAATTGAGGATGCTTGGCATCATTTGACTTTTGTGTTGTGCATCTAATAGGTAAGCAAAGAACAAGGATGATAGTTTTATTGATTAATAGCGATTTCATGCCAGTTATACAGGAAGAAGTTGTGTGTTGACTTCGAGAAATAATAAGAAAAATAATGCTTGCCTTTTTCTTGTTTGTTTTTCATGGCAGCTAACGTATTGGAAGAAGACTCAATGGAGCAGGACATAGAGAGCCCTGTCACTATTCATCAGCCAAAGTTGCCCAAACAAGCTAGAGAGGATCTGCCAAAAAATATAAACAAAGAATGTGCCAAGAGAAAAATCCAGAGGTACGTTAGGAAAGATGGGAAATGCAACGTCCACCATGGGAATGTCAGAGAGACTTACCGTTACTTGACTGACATCTTCACTACCTTAGTCGATCTCAAGTGGAGGTTCAATCTGTTGATTTTTGTCATGGTTTACACTGTGACCTGGCTCTTCTTTGGAATGATATGGTGGCTAATTGCCTACATGCGAGGAGATATGGATCATATAGGGGACAGCACGTGGACTCCATGCGTCAGCAACCTCAATGGGTTTGTCTCAGCCTTTTTATTCTCAATCGAGACAGAAACCACCATTGGGTATGGTTACCGGGTCATCACGGACAAGTGTCCTGAGGGAATTATTCTGCTTTTAGTGCAGTCTGTTTTAGGTTCTATCGTCAACGCTTTCATGGTTGGCTGCATGTTTGTGAAAATATCCCAACCCAAGAAGAGGGCAGAAACCTTGGTTTTTTCTACAAATGCAGTTATTTCCATGCGGGATGGAAAGCTGTGTCTGATGTTCCGAGTAGGAGACCTTAGGAATTCACACATTGTAGAGGCATCAATACGAGCCAAGTTGATCAAATCCAAACAGACAAAGGAGGGGGAATTTATACCACTGAACCAGACAGATATCAACGTAGGTTATTACACAGGGGATGATCGTCTCTTTTTGGTTTCACCACTGATCATCAGCCATGAAATTAACCAGCAGAGTCCTTTCTGGGAGATTTCCAAAGCCCAGTTGCCCAAAGAGGAGCTAGAAATTGTTGTAATCCTAGAAGGAATGGTGGAGGCAACAGGTAACATTTCTTATACTTTGTATAAGGTAAATGCTTTAATTTTAGAAAGGAAAATCAGTGGGTTTGCTTCACTTTTTAAAGGAATCACTTCAATAGTCATTATATTTGAAAAAGGCATCAGTTATCTGGTTAGTTTCAAAATTAAAAGCATGCCCAGTTTAATTGTCTGTTCCATCTTACCTAATGGAATTAGTGTTGTTTCTGCTCTGTTTGGAAAATGGGATAATGTTTCTCATTTTCTAAATTTTTCGCAGCATGTCACCCAGTTATTTGTCATTCTATTGCAGGAGCAACTCAACCACTAGGACCCTGTGGGATAAAACGATTTAGAAAAAAATATTCCACACAAAACTCTGTTTATGATTAACAAGGAAGCACAATAGTGCCTGCTGCTTCCAATCACCCACGGGTAATTGCAGAATAATTGCCTGCCACGTGAAATTCCTAGCCTGTTTGGATCCAGTAGGAAGTGATAATGTGTTCAGTTTTCTCTTTTTGCTTGCTTGTTTGCTTGTTTTTGGTTTAACTTGTAACACGGGGCTTGTTCCGCTTTAGTTCACAAAAGATCTGTCTGATTTTGTATTTCACTGAGGCCCCCTACACACTGCAGAAGTGTACGGAACACTTAAAGCTGGCATATATAACCAAGGCTTAAGTCTGGCATATATAAACACGGCATGTTATGTCACCAGAGTCTCAAAGGCTATTTGGTCATTACCTGCAATTATACAGCAGAACATCAGATATTGCTTGACGTGGAGAAATAATCCTTGGAATTCACAGCAAATGAATTAGTAATGTTTCTTCTTTGCATTAAAGCCAGAATAGTAGGAGGATACTTTCTCAACAACTGCTGTATTTCCCACAGTGAGAATGCTGGTCTACTTGTTTTAGGAGCTGGAGGTATTTTTTTCCTGTTAACGACGGCATCAATCTCTGAAGTGAATAAATATAATCAATACAAGGGAATGGTGATTAGAAAATGAAGAAAAGATGTGCTTGGGGATGGGAGGAAACACTGAGTATAGAAATAGATGAACCAGATTTGCCATTTTTCCCCACTACTGTAGCAAAAGCTAGGAGAGTTTGAGGATGTGGATTACACATCTCTGACAGAGGTACAACCTTTCTAACCCTGACTCATGTTTTGCAACTGGAGCCAGGAAATAAAGAGCAGTCTCTTACTAGAACATGTGTGTGTGTTTCACACATCTATTATGTGGTGTCAGAAGAAAACTGCATTTGTCACCATATAATAAACGTGTGAGACAAAAATGGAGCAAAAAAAAAAAATTTGAAAGGAACTTGGCAGAGAATTTGAAGTGGTAAATGCAAGGCTTCCAGATTTTCCAGGAAGTAGGTGGTACTGAAGAGAAATCAAGTTGAAATGTTTAGTGTTTCTGATACATGCAGTAGGCACAGAGGTTTCAAACATCTGCATCACCTTTGGGTGAGACGATGAGGAAATTCCTGTTAGCGAAACCATTTTGAAATTTCTGAATTGCGACTAAATGAACTTGACATCCCAAAGATCAGTGGATATTTTCAGGTTTACTGAACACCGTGTTCTCCAGAAAAATGGTTGGCATGCAGTAGAAGTATAAAAAACATTTCACCAAAAATACCTAGAAGATCAAAAGATAGCATACTTCTGCAGTGCATCAGATGTAGCTTTGCTGTCTTAAGCCTTGTCACTCTTCATGGTTTAACCCTCCCTCTCTTACCTCATCTTCACCCCTGCACACTCACACGACTCTCTGGGCTCTCCTTTGCTGCTCTGATACTGACCACATCTTCCACTTGGCCATTGTCAGCCTTCACCGGAGGAGATGATACCTCTCAGACTACTCGGGCTGGCAAACTTGAAGTTAAAATGCTAGAAGAGTCCGAACTAACAAAGAAACTGGGTGCAGTGATTTGAAAACCCACTGAGGCCATCCAGGATTAAGGCGGTACCCTGGCACTGGATAGGTCACCTCATTTACCATTTTAAGTTGCTCTGTTTCGTTCTGTTTAGGTCAGCTCTCTAGCTGTGTGAGATATGAGGGGAGGGCATTGAATAATGCTGCTTAACTATGGCATCAGAAAGATTAAAGTCATAATTACCAGCACAATTTCTAAAACATATCTGTGCAGAAGTAGCCACTTGTTCTGTGCTTTGCCCACATGCATTGGATTATTTTTGTCGCAGGTGCAATCAGGCCAACTTCCTACCAAAACAAGACATTTCCCTCTTTTAATTCACAAACATTTTCTAGTTACATCCTGGCAAACACTGAAAGCAAATTTAGGCCATCATATACTCACATTTCCTTCTTACACCCGATGTAGAGTGAGAGCAGTGAAAGAAGTTGCGTATAGCAGCAACCTCCAACCCATCATACCTGCCAACATTGGTCAAAGCCATGGGATACAAAAACATCAAAGCCGAAGCGAGGAAACTGTGACCTCAGCTATACCAATATCATCATTCAGTAGCGTGGCTCATGGGTCAAAACCAAACTGAGATCATTAGCTTATGTTATTAATCAGAAAAGCCACTCCTAAGTTTGACCAATGAAAACAATCCTTTCTCTATTTTCAGAGCTTCCCCACTCTGACAACATTTATACCTTTAATGAGAGGTAACACATGCTGAAAATGCTAAGTATAAACATTTGCTATTATTTTAATTCACTATTGATACTATTCTGTTTAAATTTCTACTGAGCAGGTGATATCATTTTATATATGTGTAATACTTTCCACCTTAAGGGCTCCAAAAGCACATCTACCTGTAGTATGAAACACAACTGTTTATGTAGTGACATGTGAACTCTGCATTGCATGTTAGGACGGGAAACTAAGGATAATGCATTTTATTAAATGAAATTGAAATAATTACCCAAACTAAAATCCTGCAGAACGATCAAACCAAGGACCCCCTAATTCCCCTTGGAAGCCTCACTATATCTTTCTGAGATGCAAAAAGAAGTAGATATGTCTTTACCGAGGCAGATGCCAAAATATTAGCCTAGGAAGTATCACTATGCCTTGACTATTCACATTCATTCTACCATGAAGATTACTTTGAGGGCAGCATCTTCAACAAGGCACTTTCAACAAGATGTGAAGTTGATCTAACTACTTCATACAGCATCAGCAAAAACTCAAAATAAGACTGTTTCTTAAAGTGTTTGTTATGGATCCTTCCAATATGCAGGTTTCTTTCTTTATTTATAATTACATTCAAAAATATCCCTTTGGGTTCAAAGGATAACACTATTGCAAAGATCTACTCCTGTGGTTTTCCTGATACTGATGCACATCTCTCAGGTGTCCGAAAAAACCCAGTCGTGGTGTGACGTACGCTAGGCTGCCATGAGCCTCCAGGAACGGGGGGCAGAAGTCCAACCAAGCGTCACCATATCTGAAGGATGCATCTGTTGTTTCCATGTTTTTCAGCCCCCGGTCCATTCCCCACCATGCTAACAGCAGGTAGGAGTGCCAATGCGAATCAAGGATCGATATTAACTCTGCAAAAACTAGAGTAACATCCACCTTAAATAAGGAAGCCATTTCTGAGGCACTTAGGCTTCTTTTAGTGCCGGACTACAGCTGTGGCATTGATGGAATAGCCCCATACCAGCAAAGGCCCTGGTCCCACACTTATGCAGCACTAAAAAGCAGGATTCTGGCATCCCTCTCCTTCATATGGGAGAGCTGTAACATTAAATGCAAATGAACTAACTCAAAAGAACATGACTAACACGTTGATCTCAGCTCAGCAGTATTTGATATTTGCCATTCAAAATAGTTAGTTTATATTAAAGTGCCACCACTGTTTTCATACTATTTTCTGGAGACTACATAAGAGATTTGTTAGAGACCAATTAAGAGATTTGTTAGGGTATGCACATTTATAGTAATGGTATTTGAGAAAAATTTTTTTTTTCCTTGGATCAACAAAAAAACCTTAGGTTCAAAGATCCTGAACCCTGCCTCCCCTAAACAGCAGGCACAAATGCTTGGATTTGAAGAACTTATTCATTTCTTTTAATTTTTTTTTTTAAATCTACAATTAATAATTTTTGTGATAGTTTAATAGCCTCTTCCTAACAATAGGCTTGAAATTTTTAAGCTCTTTTTCCTTAGTGAAATCTATTTTTAAGGGAGGTGTTATCATAAGCAAACTAGTCATTTTAAAAAATTAAAGACGACTCCCAAATGTATAATACTGGTATAGGAAATAAACCAAGACCAAGAAAAGGAAAGCCTCTTAAATTTGGGGAGGTAAAGTGGGAAAGTGAGGTATGCTACGATAGCTAGAGAAACTGAGAGAGAGAGGAAGAAACTGAGGGAGAGGGATTTACAAAAAAAGGAGAGAAAGAAGAGCATCCTGAACAGCCCATTGCCTTGTTGGTAATGCAGTTCCTGAATCATAAGCAGCCCGGTTCAAATCCCTCCTCTAAACCTTGATTAATTTACAGAAAACAGCATTTTCAAACACAGGAAAGGAATATGAAGTATTTCAACCTACTTAAGCCAGCAAGACCCTCGCACTTGGTGAAGATGTATGTGGCCAGTAGAGTGCACCCGATGACACTGGCAATTCCCTCTGCCTAAAAATAAAACCATGAAAATTGAAACAGTACCAAGGAAAGAAAATTATCTACACATTTATAACTGTCAAAAAACAAGCAACAAAGCTCGACAGATAACTTTCAGTTCATATGGATAACTTTACAAATAAACTTGTAATAGCGCGCATTTATAATTCTGACACACGGGCGGTTTGAGAGCAGTATTGGCAGAATGGTTTATACATACGTAAAAAACCACACTTGCCAGCTGTGGAAAATGTGTGTGGAAAGCAATAAAATGTTCACATAGATAGTTATTTATATAGCAAATGATGCTATCAACTAGACAAACATTGTATAAAGCTGTTCCCACTCTTCACTACAGCCCCTTTGACTGACTGATTTATTGTCTTTTTTATTGCTCCCGGATGAATTGCC